AAAATAACATATTTGCACGTGTTAGTCTGTGATTCGGTTAAATATGAACGCTAAATGCGTTTCCACAATAATTGTTTTTTGATTATGTTGTCTCTCTTTGATTCCAGACATAAATCCTTCATTAAACTGTTAAGAAAAAATTGAAAAATGTCCAAAATGTAAGCAAAGATATGGAGACTATTTATTAAAGAAATCCAAAATATATTTACAGGTTCTCAATTTGAGATGTAAAGGAAAAATATTATTATTAAATACTAAAAATATATATTATATTACAATAGTAGCTGTGCACCTTCATTTTCCTAAAAATATTTTTTAAATAAAACTGATTTTTTTTAAAAAAAAATAATCGTAACAAAACAAATTTTTTCAGTTTTAAAATAAATTTAAAATGATTTTGATGCAATTCTGAGTCAGAGATTTATCTATTTTACACTTTCTTCATTTTCATTACATTTCATATGCATTTTTTCATTAAATATTATATGTAAGATATCAGAAAGACCGTAAATAAAACTTGTGAACTTTTAAAAAGGATTTTTTTAAAAAATAAGTGAAAATCAACTTGATGAAGTTTCAAAATAGGCCCGTAGGAAAAAGTGGACCTTAAAAATACGACCAGGTTAAAAATTGATTTCCATCTTATGTTTATCATCTGTGTGTTGAGTTTCAAAAATATCTACTCGAAGCAAAATACTCGTTGGTAGAATTGGACTGGGCTCTAATCTCCAGTATTGACATTTAGAGTGACTTCGATAGCTTCGCAATTAACCCAATAGTTAAAAATTTACTTGAGATTCAAAAATTAATGCCAGAAAATTACGAATTACAGTTGAATAGTTAAATTAGTTCAAACAAATCTAAAAGTTAAGTGGAAAGTTTAAAAACTTCCATAAAAAAAAAAGCCAAGCAAAATTGAATTAAGAGGATGGGCGGGGCTTAACCTAGGCAATGTTGGAGCTTCAAAGATTTTGGAGATAAAAGTTTTGGAAGATTTTTCGAAAAGGAGCTTGCAGCGAAAGGAAGCAACCTGATTGGCTGATTGAATTAGGCCTGTGGGAGGAGTTAAAGAAGAGTGAAGTCCAGTGTCTAAGACATTCTAAGCCAATGTTGATATAAGAATTGCTTGTATTTATATAACAGTGTAAAAAAACAAAAATAAAACTAAAGAGAAAGCTGTGAACCGAAAGATAATGCTTCGTCTTGTAACGGTAACTTGTAACTCCGAAGATTCCATTTCTACTGTTTTTAAGCCCGAAACAGCTGTAGGTATCGCAACCATTAAAAAAAAATCACAAACACACACACACAAACAAACGAATCTCAATTTAATAAGCGCAAAGATTAATCTAATAACTTATTAGTAAAAAGACTTTCTCACTCGAATCTCTTATCTGTCAGAAACGAACAGAAATTCGAAAGAACTGGATTGTAGATGCAATGCAAACAGTGTAAATCTTTAATGTAGTTGAGCTCTACAATCCTTCTACTAATGCTGCGGTCCTTAAACTTTCGATCATCGTCGCCCTTTTTATGTATCAGCCGTACATCGGGGACCCCCAAGATTTTGAATACCCTTTCCTGACTTCCAACACATAGCTAAGCTATTTAAAGGCTCCTTTGTAATCCTAAGACTGCGTCTGCTACTTATATAGACTTTTTACACTTCTCCTTCCCTTAAGAAACAGTAAACATCTACTTAAAAATATTACAAAACACTAATTTAATACTTCCTTCCTTCCTCAGTAGCTCGACAACCCAGGGTGGGCTTTGGCCTTCTCAAGAAGCCATTTCTAGGCCAGCCTTTTCTCTGCTAGAGTTCTTCAATTTTTAGTTCCCAAAAGAAGATCTTTTTCTAGGCCATTAATCCATCTTATATTTGGCCTGTCTTTTCTCCGTGTGCCAATTGGTTGGACATTCGAGACTTTTTTAGTGGTGAGGTCATCGTCCATTCTGAAAATGTGGCCTGCTCATTTAATTCATTGCACTTTGGTGAAGTTAACGATGTCAGATTATTTATATGAGTGATAGAATTTAATACTAACTGAGGATTAATATGCTTGATTGAAATAAAGCTCTTGTAAAGTTTTCATTGGGGAAATTTAGTGACTAGTCTAGGATGGCGCGTCTTTCAACTTTTCCAAGAGGCTTTTCAAAATCTGTAAAAGGGGAATATCTTAATATTAAATAAGAGCCCTTTGCGGACCCCTTAGAATGGCACTGGAGACTCCCGGGGGTTCGCAAACTACAGTTTAAGAGCCTCTGTACTAATTGATATATTGACTTGGTTGCGGTAACTTCACTAATTCTTGAGTAACCTCCGTATTCACTGCTAACTGGACTGGCAGTCAAAGGAAGAAAACCGTGGTTTTACCTAAGTAGATATCACCATCGCAGATTCATTCTCTAACCCTAGTCCAGGTAAGAAAATTTTAAGCGGGCTCAAAGCCTAGTTAGATTTAATCGAGCTTTTGCGCAGTAAGCGCAATCAAGGATCTATTCTGATCAATAAGATTGCAGACTTGTAGATGAGTAAAAAAATAGTGGCGAAATGAAGTTTTAAACCGGTGGTTTGCTTATTATGTTTCTCCATGTTTCATAGGTCGGTTTAGTTAGCGGTGAGTACAGCCGTTACTCTGTCCCAGCTTTTCCAATATCAAGAACTCTTACTCATTACTTCATTTCACTTTGCATAATTAATCTTATTCCTTCCTTCCTCAGAGACTCTACAGCCCAGGATGGGCCTTGGCCTTCTCAAAAAAGCCTTTTCCTGGCCAGACTTTTTCCTGTTAATGTTCTCCAATTCTTAGAACTGGGAGATCTTTTTCTAAGCCATCAATTCATCTAAGATTTGGCCTGCCCTTTCTTCGTGTGTCATTATTTGGGTATTGAAGACTTTTTTTAGTGGTGCAGTCTACGTCCATTCTAACAACGTGACCTGCCCATTTAATTCGTTGTATTTTGATGAAGTTAACGATGCCAGATTCATCATATGATTGATAGAGCTCGAAATTTGATCTTCTCTTCACCACCTTCCATTTTTCTGAATTCCCCCAAAAATAAATCTTAAAATCTTCCTTTCGCGTAGATACTTATCATATTCTCATCTGTTCGAGACATGGACCATGTTTCACATGCATAAGTCAATATTGATCTTAAAAGACTTTTATATAATAGAACCTTTGTTTTTCTTTTGATTAAATTCGATTTCATATATTTTCATATTCAGTAGCGCACACAGGAATTTTTCAAGGGGGTGTCCGGGGTCGAAAGTTCACCATTCTTGTATCAGGCTCCTTTTGATTTTGTCGATTTTCGGGAACAAAACACAATAAAAACTAATTATTGGATAAATAATTAGCATTAATTAATAAAATTAATCATTAATAACAAATATTTAATTAAATTTTACGTACTATATACTTAGAATTATAGTTAATCGGAAAAAAAATCAAGGGTTTTGGGGGGGATCCGGACCTCCTCCTTGTGTGCGCCACTGTTCATATTTCATTAAGACCTATTAGCCATAGTAATTCTCTTTTGGATTTCAGTAGTACAATCGAATTAATCTTATTAACGTATTCAAATTTCTTCCGTAACAGAGTGGCAGTTAATTCTTGCAATAAAATCAAAGAAACTCAAGATATAGTTATGAAAACTTGCAAGATAGACCGTTACAGTCTTGATCATAACTTATAAGTACCTCCCGCACAAGAAGTTTTTCTTCCAGCCCCTCCTTTTTCTAAATCTCATGATACACTTGAACGTACAATAAAACTTTGGTGGCGAACTTAAGTACAAACCCAAAGTAATTGCCAAAAACGACAAATAAAACTCTGGAGGGAAATATAATTAAAAATGTAATAAAATAACACGAAGCTGAAGGAAATGTGAAACGAATGCTGTCATTAAATTAACTAGAAATATTTCTTTTAAAAATAAAAGATAAAAATTACGACATATAAGCCATGGTTATAAAAACATAAACGGAAACGGAAATTGCAACACTCGTAAAAATGGTAGTTGAAAGAAAGGAAGAAAATTATGGTGGGCGTTAGGATGCGGATGTGTTGAATTATAATTTCAATTCTGAATTTGAACAAAAAAATATATCAGGGGCAGGAAAAGGGATTTTTTTTTCATACGCCAGCGTCAAAATTATCCCCAATTATATTTGTAGCATGACATAAACGTATTAAATATTTTTACCGAAGTATTTATACATTATTTCTATTAAACTGCGTCCAAATACATTGAGAATTTTAAATAAAAATTAATTAAAAATAAACTGAAAGAATAGGTATTACATAATAATCCACAATGATCAAATGTGCTACTAAAATAACAAATATTTTTAAAAATTAAAAATAAAATAAAATTAAGATAAATTATTTAAAAATTTAAAAATTAAAATAAATTAGAATAAATTAGGACATCATAAAAGAAATAATAAAAAATTGTATTTTAAGAAAATTAGGGGAAAAAAATGCAATTTTTCAGGGTTTTTTTTGTTGTTGTTATTTTTTGGTTTTTTTAAGCTTTTGAACAGTGATATTTTTATTTTAGGCAATAAAAAAAAATTTAAATGCCATTCTATAAAATAATAATAATAAATATATATCTAACAAGTAATATAAAAAAATTAACGCAATTCCTACTTAGGTCAACAAAGAAAAATTTTATTTTAGTTACTTTTTGTTAAATAATTACAATTAATATAAATATGTATATGCATATGAAAGAATCAAAACATTAAGTGATAATTAATTTTTATTAATTATCATTAAAGTATCGTATAGTCATCCAAAGCAATCGTGTATGATAGAATCACAATATTGACAAAATAAAAAGCGATTTTCCTTGCAATTTTCCATTTTCCTTTCTATATAGTGTGTTGGACTATTATGTTTGTTTGTTATTATATATTCATATTTATTAAATTTAATTATTCCAATAAAATAGTATAGTAAAAAAAGAAATCACATTCTCAGAAACTAAGCCATCCCAGGTGGGATTCAAACCCTTAAATTAGAAGTCCAACGCGCTATCCATTGCGCTACAGGGACACAACGTGCGATTATCTTTTTTTATATGTAATGTTTAATTAGAATCATTGTTTGTTACTATTTATTCATTAATTAAATGTAATTTCTGAATTATTATTTGGAAAAACTGTGTATTAACATCAAGTGTCATCCACTACAAGTTTTAAAAACTGTGTTTGAACTTGAGTGGATGAATAGAGGGTATTTTATTAACGATTGAAAAATTGAACAGTATATATATATAGAGAGAGAGAGAATTAATAGTAGGAATTGAAAAATAGGGAAAGAATCATGAAATGATTTATAAATTCAATATCACATTTATAATTATATATTATAACTTTTTATTATAGCACGCACACGTATGTTATTTGTAACAAATATCCAAAATAAACACTTATTTTTCTGCTAAAATTTTACAAGTTTCACAAATGTGTAAATATATAGTATAATATGAGAAAGAGAGAGAGAGAGCACACACAAATTCCAGAATAGTTTATAACAATATTAATTATTATTTTCCCTTTTTAGCAGCAGTAGAAGTAAAAATTAAATAAACATGTAAGCGTGAAATTTATAAATTTAAGAGCGAAAATATTTATGTATATAGATTTATGTTGCAAGTAAGAGTATTGAATTACTTGACATGTTTTAATCAAAATCGATTAATTGATTTATCGAAAACAGTTAATTACTGAATTCTAACCTAGAATTAAAATATTTATTTTGATCAATATGGCAATGCTGAAGAAGGCGAATTCGAAATCTTTTGCAGGTTAATTTATTTTTTATGAAACATGTCGTAGTTCATATTTGGCTCTGAGAAGTAAAAAATGAAAATATTGAATTCAATAAACAATTTTAGAAATTTAAAAAAAAAACATTCCATGTAACAGTTGTATCGAATTAATGCGAAAAATATTTGTAGCAAATTAAGACACATTTAAAAGAATTTGAAATAGAATAATTCGAATTCTACTCGATTTTTTGGAATCGGTTTTTATTTTAATCGAATTTTCTGAATTCGATTAGAATAGAAAATTCGGTAATCAGATAAATTAGTTAATAATTACTTCTTACTGAAAATAAAATTAAAAATTTAACCATTATTGATTCAAAATATGAATAAATTAGTTATAATTTCAGAATTTTGCAAAAAATAATATTTAAAAATCTAAAAAGATAATTCAAAGTTCTAGATATATAGTAGATTTTTGTGATAAAATGTTCATCAAATTTTTAAATGTTTTTGCGTTTATTAAAAAAATTAATAATAATGCAATGCATAATGTACAATTAAATAATTATAAATCCATTCAAAAATAAAAAATAAAATCTGCAGGAATTGTAATCACAAACCTTGAAATCGTTATTATTGCAGGCGAAGGAAGCTGTTGAAGAAAGAGTTTCGTCACTTCCACCAGATGGCGCACCTCATCCTGCGTAGAGACATGGTGCGGCAGATCACAGTCGTCACAAGTGCATCCGGCATCATTCAGAAGATCCGGATCCGGGGGCCGACGGTCAGGGAACGTGTCCAGTAACGGTTCCACTGCACTCCACCTGTCCAAAAAAAAAAAAATTAGATTTCTTTTTTGAACTACAAAATGATTTTATCCAAACTTAGTCAGCACTTTCTAAAGGTTTTAGTTTAGTCTTTGCTCTTGAAAAATGTTGACATTGACATTGTTTATTTCAACAATTAAAAAAAAAGATTTTTATTTCCATTGAAAGGATTTCTATATATATTAATTGTTACAGAATAGAACATAATCTTATCTTTTTTACTAAAAAATTCTTCAATATTTTATATCATTCTGACAAGACAAACTACCCCGTGAAGAATTCTATAGGTATATTATAGGTATTTCTGCTTAAAAATCAGCCCATTTTATCCTTATGAAATATTTTCTAAACTTTGTACGTTAAGAAACACGGCGAAATTGGCAATATATTTCAAAACTTTGAAGACCGTACAGAGCAGTACTCACGGACCTTTCTATCGCCGCGGACAGGTTAACGTTTGATAATTTTGCCATGGCCCGATGAGGAAGGAGGGGAAATGATGATTGTTTGATTTGCCTTTAAAATAAAAGCAGTAACATCAAAAATGAATATAAAGTGATTTATGATTCGAACTCACTAGAACGCTACATAAAACACCAGAGTAAATAAAATAGAAATAATTTAATGTTCCTTGGGTGGCCCGGTATTATTTGATATACGGACCGGTAACAGTCCGCGGTTCAGGATGGGAGACCACTGGTATAAAGTAATAAATGTATTACTAGAAGTAATTTAAATTTAAAAATGTATATATTTTTTCTGTCTGAAAACATGTTCCGAATATCGACCTGTTTCGTGGAAGATAGTCTTACAATATTAAAGTTTTTGCATCAATCAATTAATGTTTTTATGAAACCAGTCTATTTTTTAAAGAGCAGGGTAGGATGAGGGGTCGAATGTGTTCTATTTCGAAAAACAGTTCCGAGTGTGTGTTCAGGCAAAGCTAGTGGTAAATGTGTTTTCTATTTTAATGTTGATATTGGAACTTAAGAGCCATATATTTTAATCTTCCGATAGTAATATCCTGATCTGAGTTTCTTTTATCGTGTAAAAAGAGAGAGAGCACTTTGTATAAATTTCTTACTCATTTCTAACCCAATTGATCAATTTCTTATACAGTAAAACCTGTTTTTGTGCGGTAGATAGGGACCGCACAAAAAAAAATATTCGAAAATTTCATAAATACTTACGTATAACTAACACCTTTATCGACATACTACAGACATATTTTTTTTATGCGGTGAAGAGGGACCGCATAAAAAAAGTCGCACTTTGAAAATATGTCAACTGCTTACGTAAGTTATGAGGAAGTGATTCCAAACAAAATAAATAATAAAATTACACATGGAAGCATTTTAAGGTATTCGACTACGTTCGGAACCATGATTTTAAAAAAGCCCATAAATGTATAATTTTCATGATATTTAGTGTCACTTAGATTAGAATACATATATAAAATTGTTTTAAGAATATTGTGACAAAAAAAATTATTTAAATACAATATTTTGGCAAAAAAATTAACTTAGAATAACCTTTTTTT